CCAAATTGAATTGGCCAAAAGGAAGTGCGATTTGCAATCTCTTCAGCTCAATAACTCACTCTTCATTGTTGTTTTAAAAAATTTCAAAATTCAGTATTGGTATAGCCTCTGAAAATTTAAATTTTTATGTTTACTGTTGTATGGTTCTATCAAATTCAAATTATTTTCAAATAACATATAGTTGTAATTTTATTCTCATAAGCTTTTTGGAAGAGGTAAAACAAAATTTAAAGCTCGACTCAACGTTGCAATAAAAAAAATTAAAAGCGATCGTGATCTTCGAATTCCTTAAAAAAATCCTCTGGTCTATTCCCTTTCCAACGGTATGCAACATGTCGTAAAAACCTTTTAATAATTTCACTAATTCGCTTAATGTATCGAGACACGTCAGGCTGATATTCGGGATGAAAACTTGATTTTACGTCGCGCGATGTTGGTAAATATTGTTATCTCACTTTTGCGCAGTAGAATTCTTCATCCGTCTCTTCGGTAAATTCAGTATTTAAGTGAATTTTGGGATTTTTCAATACAACAATAGTAATAGTATCTGTTTCAAAGAGAATATCCACGGAGATTTTTATCTTCTTGGCTTTCAAATATCACTAGAAATGAAAATTTTTCTATGCGCATAAAAAAAAACGTGGGCTTAACTTTGGCGGCACAAAATGTTAAAAAAATTCGAAAAATTTCATATTTTTTTTCTATTTAATTATGTATCTTTTCAAGAGTTGATTTTAGGCGAAAGTGGAAGAGGAAAAAAATGTTTGTAATTAAATTTTTACATACAAATCGAATGAATCATGATTATTATTGTAAAAATCGGAAAAATCGTAAAAAATTAGGTTAAAAAACATTACCTTCTAAGGAATTTTTTTGGGGTCCCTAAATTGGGTATAGGACCTTCATACTTGGCTCAAGAAAACTTCATATTTTATGAAGAATCATCACACCAAATTTCATCAAAATCGGTTAGATAGATTTTGCATAATAATTTTGCAATCCAGATTTTGAAAAAAAATTGCAAATTTTCAAAATTTTGCACAGGAAATACCAAGGCCCTTAGATACTTGAAAATTTAATCACATATAGAAGGGTTCTCAAGCTTTCAAACCGTTTTTGAAAAATTCGAATCCGTTAATTAGGAAAGCTCTGGCGCTTGTTTAAACATTAGTCGAATTTTTGTACTATAATTTTGTAATTTTGTAATATAATGAGTTAATTTCTCATTTGCTTATATTTTAAACAGTAAATAATATTTGAATTAAGTATACTTTAATCACAAAAGAAATGATGATTAAATTAATAATGAATGAATGAATTAATTAATTAATTACTCATTTTCGACATATTTTGAAAATAATTGTTGTTTAAACAATTTTAGAATATTTAAATAAATTTGTTTTTGACCTTTAATAAACAGTATATAAGTTTATGCTCTTACTTTTGATACAATAAAAAAAATAAAGTTGATAATTAAAGGAAGTTTAAAGATACATAATTATCGGACCAATGATTATTATTAACGATAGGCATTTGAAAATACGCTAATTATTTTTTTTTAAATTGCGGGACATCGATTTTCTTGAATTTCTCGCTTGCATAAATAACTTTAAACGCGTTTTAAAGTAGGTTGCCAATGAAGAAAAGTATCGCAAACTTAGACCTGGTAAGTACTCGGAATACCAAAGGTATTTTTCGAAAAATTAGCCCGGATGTCCCAGTACATTTAGTGTAAATGACGGTTAACTTTGATCGGCTATAACTACGTAACTAATTGACCAATCGATCTGTTTTTTTTTAAAGAAGCGTCTTTTCAATAACTTTTAAAACTTGCTTTAAAAAATTTGATTTGATTGAATAATCACAAAGTTATTCTAATTGTTTATAAGTACAGAAATTCGACCAATGTTTAAACAAGCGCCAAAGCTCTCCTAATAGACGGATTCAAATTTTTCAAAAACCGTTTGAAAGCTTGAGAGCCCTTCTATATGTGATTAAGTTTTCAAGTATCTAAGGGCCTTGGTCTTTCCTGTGTACAATTTTGAAAATTTGCAATTTTTTTTTCAAAATCTGGATTGCAAAATTATTATGCAAAATCTATCTAACCGATTTTGATGAACTTTGGTGTGATGATTCTACATAACATGAAGTTTTCTTGAGCCAAGTATGAAGGTCCTATACCCAACTTAAATTCCCTAAAAAGTAATGTTTTTTAACCCCATTTTTGACGATCTTGTCGATTTTTACAATAATAATCATGATTCATTCGATTTGTAACTAGTCATATTTTGTAAAATTTAATTAGAAACATATTTTTCCTCTTCCATTTTCGCCTACAATCAACTCTTAAAAAGATACATAATTAAATAGGATGAAAATTAAGACATTTTTCGATTTTTTTTAACATATTGTGCCGCCAAAAGTTAAGCCCACGTTTTTTTTAAGCGCATAGAAAAATTTTCATTTTTAGTGATATTCTAATGCCAAAAAGCCAAAAATCTCCGTGGATATACGATTCACCCAAACCAAAACAAATACCGCCTAGTCTACAATGGAAAAGTTGAAATAAAAAACAAATAGTGACAAGTGAGTTATTGGGGCTGAAGAAATTGCAAATCACCCCTACTTTCGGTCAATTCTATTTGGCAAACGATGCACCAAACACCCTGTATAATTATAGGTATAGGTAAGCTAATAAAGTTATTTATTTCAGTATTTAGCTATGTTATGTTCACTGTTAAATTTCTGTATGATATTATGAAAAAACATGCACACATACGAAAAAAAATGAGATTTGACAACTACGCATGACGTATCCCCTAACTGGGTAGTCCTTACAACATATTAGTGCACGTGATACGGTTGTTTGAGGGTACATTAGCCTTTCCGGCGGCAGAGGCAGGTTATTAATAAAAGGTTGTAAAAAAAGAGCCAATTATCACAACGGAGTTTGAGAAAATACATTTGTATGTGTTTCTAAAGGCCAAAGGTGGTCTCCGTACAAATATGACCCCCATTCAAAGTTACACCACGTATAAGGAATACTTAATTAAAATCATGCAAAATTGACTAAGGAATTATAGGTATAATTTACCGATGTTACCACTGTACCCATTAACACACTTACTATTTTTACTAATATCTACAAGATATTGTCTACCAAAATACTGTAAATAAATGAACCTACTATTAATCTAGATTTGTACTGTTCTACCCTAAATCCTAAAACAGACACAAAAAACACTTAAACTTCCACAAGAAAAACACTAAAATATTTTCTAACCGAAACAGTTTTGTTCGTCTGAAAAGTCTCTGCAGTCGTAGAAATTGTCACATCGAAGTACAACATCTATACAGGCCCCATCATAACATTGGAACCAATCAGGCTCGGCACATGTCCCTGGCCAAAAGGCCAGAATATAACATTTCATTTACATATCAGTGTTATATATAATAAGACATTTAAAACTATAACGCTCGTAAAGTGAATCCATTGTCCTATAAACCTTACCTCCAATGCAATCATGCGTAGTTCTGAAGTGAGCAGATTCTTGTACATATTTTGTTTCCCAATATCAGATTTCCCTCAATCTCACACTTATTCTCTCAGAATTATAAACCACTTCATTTGATTGCAGGAGGCAGATTATGTTCAGCTAATATTTGTTTATGTTGTTTTTAAAGAAAAGAATTCAGATGAATATTAAATAAATATGTGCATCAGATTTAATATTGACTTTTTGAAAATAATTTTTTTATTGTATGTTTATAACGATTTCAATTATGTAAAAATATACGAGTATAGTCAAAAATAGTCAAAAATAAAATTTGGATCATCATAATTATGTCTCGAAATTAAACTTCACAAAGTATAATAATCTCAGACATATAACCAAATTTCCATACATACAAAGTATCCCAAAATTAGTGTTTTATATTTTATTATCCTTTTGCAACTAAAAATAAGGGAAAAGTTTATATATACATAAATAAACAAATATCCCCTAAGGGATGCTATAATTCTTTAAATGAAAGTTGTTTTCCCAGAAATGTTCTGTCAAAATTATCAAAAATATTCAAATTATTGGAGATAACACTATCACCTATACTACAAAGCCTCACATCTGATTCTCTTTTGCTTGGTGACGATACTACCCGTGGTATTGTTAATTTGTAATTCAAATAGGCAAAAATTGACATGAGAATTGTTATCAATTTAATTTAATAATTTCGAAAAGTTTTTCCCAAAAAAAAAGAAGATACAATCCTCAACAATAAAAAACAGGTTTTTCGCATTAAATTGTAGATATAGTTTCCAATTTTTTACAAAGCGAAGGCTCGACAGCTTGAGGGGGCCTCTGGTTGTGTGTTATAATTCTAACAATTTCTAAATAGTGTTAATTAAGAGAAATTATTAGACAAAAAAGTTTTTATTTGTAGTTGGTGAATGAAAAACACACATAATTTAGTTATTATGTTGATCAAACATTGCATTTTTGCACTTTCGTTTGTCCATGATTTTTTTAGTAATTATAGTAATAATAATAGTAATAATAGTAATTCAATGAATTTCTGATCTAAATGATCGATACATCTGTTTTTCGTCATCATTAATTCAAATGGTTTGGAACTGCCATTTTTCGAATATGTAACATTATTTTTAAATCAATTACATACAAAAAAGTTGGTGCATAGTTTTGCCAAAATTTCCTTAAAAACGGGCAATGCAATTAAAATTTAGAAAATACTTTTTCACCTAATTCAAAACTTAATAACAATAATATCCAGTCTCAAATTTTGTTACACGTTGAACAATTTGAGGCGTATGAAAAAAAAAATCAGTCTCCTTTAAGGGCATATAATATCCACTTCAGAAGGCACGTCTTTGTCTATGTTCATATAAACTTTTCTCTTATTATTTTTTTTTTTTAGTAGAATGCGCTGATACAATAATTTGCCCTGCGAATGTAATGATTATTTTAATTAAAAAAATAACTTACGACATCCTTCCTCGTCTGAGCCGGACGGACAATCTTTGATCCCATCACACTGCTGGTAGGATTCTATGCAGGACCCGTCACTGCATCTCAGCTGGTTGGATCTACATGTAGGGCCTACAGGGGGACAGTCATACTCATCGGAATTGTCACTGCAATCAGGACGACCGTCGCATTTTTGGCTATCAGGTATGCAGCTTCCATCTGGGACGCATTCAAATTCATCGCGATTACATTTAGTACCTGGCAAGAAAATGACACTATTATGGTATTCACTATTAACATATTTTTTAAGGCATTGGACTTTTCAAAACTTTTATTCTGTAAAATTATTTTCGTGAATGTTAAAAATATAAAGAACTCACCGAACAAAAAAGCCGGCCAAATAAAATTTTGCAAAATTTCAGTGTTCGACAATTTTGCAAGTTTTCACCGATTTTCATTATTCTCCGCCATATTGAAATTAAGATCTAAATTACCACAAGCCTATACAATTTTCAAAAAAATATATTCCCATCGAACATGGGATAAACTTAATAGGGTATTCATCATCCCAATTGCAATCCCCAAAGATCAAATTTTTAATTTTGTTAATTTGTTGCTACATTGAGACGTGCTACTATTATAACGAGAAGTTGACATACAAATTTTTGAAAATTGACATTGGCTTTATTATTGTTCAAAATTTTGTGTGCATTCTAAGACCCTTTTGACCATTCAAATTAGTTTCTTCAAAATATGACGAGAAAATAGTAAAAATCGATGAAAGGATACCTACAAAATTTTGAAAATTTTAGATTAGCCATTTTGTTTCATGGTGAATTTATAATTGTAATATTCATACAATAATTCTAAAATAATTTATAGAGAAAAATATGTGCTCATGCTCAATTTTTTGAAATAAGCCTACCCAGCTTAAGTAAAAAAAAATAACTAGCTTACTTACCACAGCCAATTTCATCTTGGCCATTTTTACAGTCTTCATATTGGTCGCAACGGTACTTTAGATCTATACAATTTTCGCCACAATCAAATTCATCAGGACCGCATGCTAAATTATGTGAAAAATTTAAAAACTTAAATTATTAAAAGCAAATAACAGAATATTAACAATAGCAATTCAAAATGTATAACGTATCAAAATGCATCCCAGGAATAAGAAATTCTTAATTATTATATTATTATTCTATTTATTCTTATTTATTCTTATTCTTATTTGATTCATTTTTTCATATACTTAATATACAGCGTGCTCCAAACCTCCTTAACCTCTTGTATATCGACACCCTGATAATTCTGAAAATTTTAAAGGTACAAATTTGAAACTTCTTGTTTCTTTTTAATTGATTAACTTTTTTTTATTACTACTTTTTTCACAACAAAGAATAAAAACTAAATCTATAAAAAAGAAAACTTGGTTGTATAAAAGACGAAAATATCTTCCAAATGATGTACAGGGTGACCTAAACTAACAGTTGGCCGCATTTACAGAAAAAGGAAAAGAGAAAATAAGAAACCAAGAAGTAAGATTCTCTTACATCATATAAAAATTTCAATTTTGCTGAACAACTTTTATTAAAAAAGTTTTTCAATATCTCTTCCTATTACAAGATATAAATGATTTTTATACAGAAACGCTGGTTCACTCAAGACTGTTACTGACTTTAAAGTTTAGATAGAGGTACCTTCTAGTGATGTAACGAATGCCAGTTTTTAAGCATTTGCGAATGCGAATGCGAACATCTGTTGTTGACATTCGCGAATGCGAATGCGAATACCAATATTCAGTTTTTAAATCTAGCGCCGCATATCTATGATTCAAAATATGCCGCGCGCGACGCACATAATATTTCCGGTGACAGCGGCACTAGAGGCTAAAGAAATTAGCGTTGTTAAGTTGGTAGAACGGTATTTTTGTATGATTGGAATTTTGTTTTGTTTTCGCTACCGGCTCAGATGAGTTTGTGAATTAATTAACACCAAATATAAAGGTTGATTATAGAAAGATAAAAGATATAATTGTTTTAAGTAAGTTTTGTAATTAAAAAGAAAAGAAATGAATACTTTTTTGTCTAATTTACCAAATATTGTTTTCACATTCTGTATTTTTTTTTCACGTTCATATTCGCAAAATATTCAAAGATATTTGCGAATGCGAATGCGAATGCGAATGCGAATGCGGATATTCGTTACATCACTAGTACCTTCTATGTTTAGATTCATTGACAAAATAAATTATTAGTTTCGATAAAGTCATAAAACTTCGAATCTTTCTGAGCTTTCCCGAAAATCACAGTCATACTTACTTTTTAATTGCGTGTTAATTTTTTTAATAAATGTAGTAAATTTGCACAAAAGCAATTAAAATGTGTCAGTAATGATTATAAAATGTAGAAAGCATCTTGTTTGTCACGGCAACGCTGTCAAAATCAGATTCGATCAGCTACTTTTTAATTTATCTATAGATAACGTCTTATATATTTTGAAAAAGAGGATTTTTACATATCTAAGATAAAAAATATTTATAAAATAATAATTGCTCAGCTCTTAGGGTCGTAAATTTACCAAAATATCATTTTAAATTATATACTTATAATATCATGCCACAAAGATACCTAATTACAGTTTCCTCTGTTTGATTTTTCCCGTTTTCTGTAATGGCGGGTCACTCTGTATATATCATTTGATCCATTCTCCAATTTAAAATTCAAAATTTTTGTCAAATTTATTTAGATTTTGAAAATTATTTTATAAATCCTTTTCAGGTTGCATCATATTTTATTATAGAAGACTGGCGCCTCCACACACTGTTTTCTAGAAATATATTTTAATTTATTATTCTGTTAATCGGGTTTGCTACTGAAGCGTAAATGTTATGTTTAAATCGTGAAATATTGTTAATTGTGAACAAAATCTGATGAATTATGTTAGTCAATGAAATCAGGTTGTAAAATTCCACATAAGTAGTCCTGACGATATTAATTAAAAAGTTCACATAAAATGTTAAGAGTACATAAATGAAATTTTAGAAAGTACACCGTGCTTTTATTTTCAAGTTTATTGATGTGGTTCTAATAGAGAATTAGTTTTTATTGTTATTATTACTTAGGTTATATACTTCAACCAACAGTTCGAAACAAACACAGTCACCTCATAGTAAAATCTTAATTAAGAAGTTTATTTTTGATTTTATTGATATTATCCTAATAGAGAATTAGTTTTTATTAACAAAATGTTACTTAGGATATACTTCAACCAACAACAATACTGGAAAGTGGAAACAATCACCTTGATGTGTTTTATTTCATAATGGTATTAGAATGCTCTACGTGTACTGTATTCGTTAACCGATTATTGGATGTATAGATATTTATGTAATGTTGTGTTTCTACTACTGTGCTGTACAATATTATAAAATGTTAAATCATATATTTTTTTATTTTCTCACTTCCTCGATTTAGTTTTTTGAATTAATATATTCTGCATATATACAAATTTTTGAAATTAATATATGTCTGACCAAAATTTTGGAAAATCAAAAAATGAACAAATATGTTCAGTGATTACAAAATCGAGGAGGCAAATAAATTTGGACGGAGAAATAAACAGAGAATAATTTTTGTTACAAATTCATAGATTTTATGTACAATTTATAATATCGGCAAGTTAGCTATGTGGATATCTAGGCTATATACGTAAGTTTCATGGCCTCTCTAATAATAGCAAAAATCAAAATAACCCCATACCAATTTCTGTAAAGATCTATATTTTAAATTTTATACATAATATATATTGTCATTTATTTTGTATATTATTTTTTTGTTGGATTTTATACCCAAAATTTTATAACGGAAAATTAATTCTCATTTTAAATTTAACTCATTTAACGGTAGACATACAAAGGAGGTGGAAAATGTCAAGAAAATTAATATCAACTTGAAAGAATTTAATGAAGATATAATTTTTTTTATTTCACTATTCAATTTGCCTTTAAAATGAAATAAATATGACATCGTTCTTTAAAAAATCTCGCTTTACTACCCATTCCTACGCCACTGACATACAAAAATTTGTAAATTTTACAGTCAATTATGTACATGTGTAAATGTTAACACCACCCAAATTTGAATCAATTTGTTATAAACATACCAAAGATTTCATAAATAATACGGCCCTGTACAGTGAAAACGGTGAGACTTAGACTCTTGCTTTATAAGGCAATATTGAATTATTTATTGAGTTCTATTTGTGGTTAAAGTTTGATTCTCTCGAACTGAAACACCCTGTATACTTGTGGCTAAAAGGGATTTTGAAACTTTTTTCATTGTTGAAATCTTCTTATTACGATAGCTAGTATATTTTTTACCCTGTAAAAATTTTTATTGCGTCTGCTATGTCTTCATCCTAGATTGACTAGTTTTATGGAAAGATCAGCAAACGTTACTATGTTTTTAGTTCCATTGTCAACTTTGCTTTTATTTAAACTTTCACTTTATATTCAAAAGTTATAAGTATAAAAACCGAGATATCTATAATTTCTTACCATCCCTTGCTTTTATACTTGTCAGTTTTACAAGAGATGGGATCAACAATTTCCACAACGATTGCGTGTTTGCAATCCAAAACACTCATGCTAATCGAGAAACCCATTTTCAGAGAAGATTCTCTGTAAAAATTTGGACTGGAATAATTGGGCTTTTTGGAGAACGATCTATCTCTACTACCTCAGGACATTCCTCTTCAAATCAGAAGGACGGTGTTCTTTTTGCATGATGGTGCTCCATCTCATTATGGAAGAGGTGTCACTAATTTCCATCGTTTGGCCACCGCGATTTCCAGATTTCAACCCGTTTCATGCTGGGACATGTGAAGACACTTACCTACTCAATAGGAAAGTCTTGCAGAGACCAACTCATTGAGAAGATTCGTACAGCATTTGATGAGGTGAAAAACAATGTGGAGATCTACTGGGAACGAGAGCTTCGGCAGACGATTGAGTTAAGCATTGCAAAAAGCGGTGACCACATTTATTAAAATATTTTTATTAAAATAAACCACTTTTTTACTCTTTAGCAACTACCCATACCACCTTTAACTTCAAACTCCGATATTTCAACAACCATAGGGAATTCGGGAAAAGTGAATATAATCATTTTTGCTTAAAATTAGTCACATAATTTATATACAAAGAATCTCGGATAGCTGGGTGACCACCCTGTATAAAAAGAAGTTAAAAGTAAAAAAGCGGGGAAGTGTGAAATTGCCCAAATTAGGTATAGGTGTAGTTTTTTATTTGTAACTTTTTAAATATAAAGTGAAAGTTAATAATTGAGTCAAGCGCACATTGTTATGGAAAGAAAACTTATTAATGTCCAAAAGGTCACTTAATTCAAGTAAAAAAGGATATTTACAGTTATTGTCATAAAAATATAATCTCAGCATGAAAATCTAGCAGCCGCGATATAAACTGTTGCTATTGTAGAAGACTGAAAGTTGCCGTGATAAGAAAATGGAATATCAATAATCAGGAAGTTAACAAAAACCTGTTTTTTATTACGGCAGCAGCTTATTTAAGATATTTTGTTAGGTTTAATCGATTTCTGTTTATGAGTAAAAGATATTTCCCTCAGTGATGCGCTAACAGAAGATTTAGTTGTAATCTTAAAATTCTTACATGAGCAGTTTCGATTCCTGTAGTCATAGGTAGATCCCAACTGAATTCAATTATCTAGTGCAGTAAGATATTCAGATACTTTTAGCAGGAGAAGTGCTAGAAAAATTTATTTATTTATCGTAAGAAGATGCTCTATTGTTCTAGTAAAACGCCGATGTTATGGTAAAATCATTTTAGTTAAGCTTGGAATACGATAATGCAACCCCAAAAACAAATTTCTTTCAATTTCCTTCAGCGCAGTTTCTTTAATGGTGAAAAATAAATGGGCAGATACTCTATAATACTCCCCATAATAGTACTTTGCTGTAATGAATTTACTTGACAAAAATTATTCCCTGTTCAGTGTTCCTTCATATTAATCGCATACTATAACAGTC